ATTTTTCCTCATCTAAAGAAATCTTATTTGGATGTGAAGAAGGAATTTAGTTTGTAAATTTTCATTCTCCGACAACAGCGTTTTTAATATCAGCAGCAAGAAAACGCTTAATAATGAAAGATGAAAATATTGTACAATAAATAGTTTTGCTAAAAAAGGGGGATCCAAACCAATGCAACCAGATTTAAATTTTGATTGTATGTGGAAACTCACTGAGAAAAGTCATAAAATACGTGAGTATTAAGGGTTTTTTTAAGTTAGAATTCGAAAGCTTAGAATGATAAAAAAAACTTGAAGATTTGAATTTTGAATTCAATTCGATTAGAAACTTCATATATACTATCGTTTGCAATCAGACTTTATATGCTAATTCTAATTTATACCTTTAAACTAAGAGTAACATTCTAGTCATACACATAGTGCTACTGAGAATGAAAATTCCTTCATAACTTGAAGTTAAGATAAATGCTCTTTTGGCCTTTTTAAAAGCCAAGAAGGTCTTGCATAAAGTACTGATATCTTATAACAGTAAATTTATGCATAGCAATAGTTTTGTCGTATACTAAGACATCAATAATAAGGAAAAATTAAGATCCTGGCTTAAATTTACCGACTGTAACCGATTTGCTCTTTCATTCTCATACAATGTTTTGTTCTTAATGTGTCAAGAAAAATTAACGACTAACGTTTATGCTTCGTAGTACTTGCGCCCTCTTGCTGTGAGTCACAGCAGTTGCTGTTTATAACGGCGCTGCATAAATTAGCACAGGTTTTATATTAGCAAGGTAAACAGATATTTTAATTTCCAAGGACATCTTAGAAATTATTTAAATAATGCAACACACAGTATTATATTCTTTATTACATTATTAGAAGTGTTGTTACGGATTTTGTATTTATTTAGCTATTTTTGGTAGAATTTTTAATTAGAATTGTTTCATATTCCCGTGAAATGCAGCACGAGACTTATTTGAAGAGAAAGCTACACTGGAAAAATTAGAATACAAGAGCACGCGCATTTAACATATTAATAAATAGATATCTTGTAATTGCTTTTGCTTTCTAGAAAACTCGAGAAATAAAACTTAACAGAATGTTCTCGTGCATGATTAAAAGCTTATAAAAGCTGGATTAAACAGCTCAGTTCAGCTGTTTACTTAGTTCTTGTTGTTAATTGTAGCGAATTTGTTGTGAGATCGGATTAGCTTTCTCTGTTTTGAATTGTGTTCTATATAACGGTTTAGTAGTTTAAAATATAACTACTGTAAGATATTGCGATATTGTACGAATATCTCTGAGAAAATTTAAGCATTTTGTTTTATTTCTTGGGATAAGAATAAATTTTATTAACTTTTTATTGGCTTATGCATTAAATCCATTACGAACCCGTACGCACGCAAGACGTTTTGGTGTCAGGAGTGGGGGTATGAATGCCAATCATAAGAGCGATGGAAAAACAGTTAAGGCATTTCATGGCAGCATTTGCTGCATTTAAAGAAGAGATGAAAGATTCTGTTAAAGAAAAAGATGAGAGCTCTCAAAGAATCGGTTAAAGCAGAGATGAAAGCGATTCCAGAAAGATGAAAGCTGGCCAAGTACCTGTTAAATCAGTAATGTAGGCGGTTCAAGAAACGTGTCAGCCGTTAAAGAATGGAAACGTCCCCAAAATGTCCATCAGCTGAGAAGCTTCATAGGGCTTTGCACTTACTATAGGAGATTTATGAAGGACTTTTCTTCCATCGCAAGACCTCTTCACAAGCTGACAGAGAGCAAGCAAAGGTTCTTGTGAACAAAAGAATGCGAGAATTCATTTAATAACTTAAATGAAGTTTTAACATCAGGTCCAATCCTGACGTATCCTCAGCTCGACAGACGATTTATTCTCGAAACGGACGCGAGCAATGAAAGTCTCAGTGCTGTTTTGTCCTAAGAAATAAACGGTCAAGAACGTGTAGTGTCTTACTGGAGCAAGTGCCTGTCTAAACCGGAGAGGAATTACTGTGCCACCAGCAAAGATTTGCTAGCCAAAGCCGTAGAACATTTCTATCATTATCTATACGGTAGAAAATTCCAGCTCCGCACGGATCATCCATCACTGGCCTGACTTTTAAATTTCAAGATCCCGAGGGTCAAATAGCCTGGCGGATACAGAGACTCCAGGAATATGACGTCACTATCCGTCATCGAAAGGGATCATCATACGGAAACGCCGACTCCCTGATGTCTGGAAGCCGATATTGTTCTAAGGTCGAAGAGAAATACGGGTATCTGAGTCTCGTTGCACTACAAATTACAGCATCAAAAAGTTGTTGAGAACTTTAGCCTGAAACAAGCTTTGAAATATATTTACAACCAGGACAACCGCCGGCAAAAAAAATGGTACGTGATGGAGTCATGATTTTTTATGATCGAGTCATTACTTGCACCAGTATCTCATCGAAAACGTTTAATAATTTGCTAAAATTCTTTTGATAGTTTTTAGTAATTTGTAGAGTTTCTTTTGATATGTGCCAAGTGGTTCCAGATGAAAAATTATTAATGATTTATACTGTCTGAGATGCGAAACTGCTATAGAAGTAATCCTTGTTTTCCTGGAGACACTTTTTCAAAGAAATCGCCAATGCCTCATCCATGGCGAATCGCATGAGTAGCAGGCTTCTGTCTGTCTGCAAGGGCAGTTCGTTCTTGGTTACTTTTCTTAAGGACTAAATTTTTAGATTCAATTTCTACACGTTAGAGAGTTAATAAAGAACAACTGGAAGTTCACTGGAACCAGAATTGCAATTGAAAACAAGAAATACAAGTTCGTTCATGGTTGATCACCTTTATCATTTTCTCCAAAAAGAGCTTAAGTAGTAAGCCAAAAATTCGAAGTTACATTTTCAAGAAGAATGAGAACTTGATTAATTTTTTAAAATGGTAAGTGATAAATAATGTTGCTTTTAAAAAGGGTAATATGGAGATGCATTTTTTTTAATATTACATAACAAATATCAAACAGATTATTCACGAAATAGTAACTTGAGGAAAAGTAAAATTAGAAATCTTAAAGCTTAATTAAGAAATTAAGAGCTCAGTAACTCTTTTTAAAAGAAATCATATTTAAATCACAAGCTTTGATTATTGCATTATTCAAAATAAGTGTCCTGTAGAAACATGAATTTTTCGCCTTAAGAAAAGTAAAAGCGTAATTATACTCATTAAGGAAATTAAATTATTTAAAATTTTTGGAATAATAGCCTTTTTTATTATAAATTTCTTCACTAAATTTTTATCTGAAAACCAGTGCTAATTTGTTTTGATAAATTTAATCGGAAAACTTGTGAAAATAGGAAATAATTTGTATGTGTAAAATCAGCTACTGGTTTTGACTAGGTGCGCTTGCGCAGAAGGTTGCTTTTCATCGAATTGGCGAACAAGTGGAAAGAGGTCCTAAAATCCTAAAGAGGGTGCGAATCTTGAAAATTGTGGTATCTGGGATTTTTCCTTGATCGTTCGAGAACTTCCGAAGTGCGAGTCACTTTTGGGATCGACTAGTGGGAGTAAGGATGTAAGACTTTGCAGATGAGGCGAATTACTCTCTTAAGTTCGTTGCTTTTTATTTCGAAGGAAGGGTGTGGTGTGTACGTGTGTAGCTCGATGCAGAGTACGAGAAAAAGCTGCGACTCAAAAAAAAAAAAAAAAAAAAAAAAAAAAAAAAAAAAAAAAAAAAAAAAAAAAAAAAAAAAAAAAAAAAAAAGGGGGGGGGGGGGAGGGAATTATTTTAAGAGTATCCATTAAGAAAAGGAACGAGAAAAATTATTATTAACTTGTCAATGTTATGTGAGAAGGTGTTTTTTGTGAGCTTGTGTTGAGGCTGCATTTGCTGGTTTCACGGGTAATCCATGCGGCGACACCCTTATCCTGCTGCATCCAATGGAAAATGTATTGATACGACTGTAAATCTTGGATATGGGGTTTCCTTGAAGCCGTTTGATAAAAATAAAATGATATTTTACAAGCGGGAATTGGTAACAGCATTTTCTTCCAACTGGCGTGTTCCACGTGCTATTTAATTGATCGGGTTTAGGTGAATTAAGCAGATGTTATTTTTTCGCATTTAATCTTCTTCCCTGAATGGTTCAGTTTAGTTGCATGCCCCGGTTACACTACTACTGACAACTCACACGTCTTTAGTCAGTTCACCAACATTAATTAAAGCATGGGTCAGAAAATTCGAGCGAACTAATTCCATCCTAAATGAGAAACCAGAAAGCAGATCACGTTCCTGGCGAAGCGACGAAAATATACTAGACGTTAGACAGTTAATAAAGAACAGCTAAAAGTTCACTGGAACCAGAATTGCAATTGAAAAACAAGAGAACTTGTGTTCAGAATGCTGGTGATAAAGCTATGCCTTAAGCATATCCATTCCCACAATTAAAAATGTATTCTTCAATGAATTAATTTCTCGTCTATACTTCTTGAATATTATGCATCGTATTCGAGAATTCTTGATCTTACTGCCGCCGATTTTTTATGGGGTATCTTAACAGTTGCGTTTAGAAAAGTAACCGACAAAAATAACCCAACTGAGACAAAATATTCGTGATCAGGGCGAAGCCATTTTGCTTGCCAGTTGTCAGCACGTATCGTTCAGCTGTAAGACTGGCAAAGACATGAAGGTGAATATATCGACTGTATATTTTTAAAAAGTAAATTTCTGGATATATTTATTCTCTAAATAAAAATTTAATAAAATAACTTAACCACACCTTTTTATTTATTTATTTTTTAAATTGGATTTTAAAAAGCATAAACATTTACAGCCTACTCTGTATTAGGAGATGCACTCTGAATTTCTTTTCTCTTAGTTTAAAAGTTAGCTCTGCTTCGGATATAACTACTTTTAATATTGAAAGAAAAAGCTGTACAGAAATTGGAGAATTTTTTATGATTTCTTAAGATTTGTGTCATTTTAGATACATTGCGTATGCAATATTATAAACAAAGAAAATAAATTCATTTCTTCAACATAATTTTTATTATTTCATTTTCTCTTCATAATTTATTTACAGCACCAAAAAAGAATCTGAAATCACACTAAGGCTTTTGCCAACTGAATTACACAGTTGACAAAGCAATTAGAATGAACAGAATGACGTAACATTTTATTAGCAGGAACTGGCCAATCAAAGTATTTATCCAGTAGCTACTTCAAAACAATCGCTATTTTAATAACTTGATAACTTTCGGTCGTGGGAATAAAATTAATCTTAACATACATTGCTGTTTTTGTTCCAGAATCTGTATATGTATATAAAAGTATTCGCCTAAATATATTGGGAAAAAGATTTCTTTTGAAGTGGAAAAGTAACTAGATTGTTTAAGACTTTAGTGTTTTAATATGGACCTTTTAGATTTTTCATGAGTGTATTTTCAGTAGAATATTCGTTTCTCATAGTTTATCGCTACTTATATTTGCAAAATAAATAAGAAATCGCAAAACAGGAGATTTATACCACCCAGTGTCCCGAAGCTGTCAAATAAAACCTTATTTTTTTCCACTAATAAGTGTAAATGATTTTATTAGCATCCAATTGGGTAGTACTTCCGTTCAGTTTTTGAAGCAAAGAATTCAGTGCTACCAGAAATTTATTGGCTCAAAAGGACTATTAGGCTAAAAACGGACCTTGCATTGTTTCAGTTTTCATTCCAGTCTATTGCCATTCGTCAAAATATAAGATAATTATATTCTAAATTTAATCTATCTGTTGTTGATGAACAAACTAAGCTAGTTAAAAGCAATAGATACAGTTCTTAAAACTAGTATTTTTTTACTTTTGAATTTGATTCAGTTAAATAAAATGCAATTAATTTATGATATAACTAATTAAGAGCATTAATATTTTTATAGAATTACATTACATATTTTTCACTTTTTAAATATACAGAAGATAATTTTCCGATGTTTATCTAAGTGCATATTCATCTAATATCCTATAAATGTTTCGCTATTTCACCTGGTCCATGTCTAATGATAATCTGAACTAACAAACCTTGTTAAACTTTAAATGAGCCCTTTTGGGGAAGTCGTTAAAAATTTGAGCCTTTTCAGATTTTGTTTTATAAATCACAATTATTTTAATTTAAGTTGCTTTTTCACACATTTTAAATCAGATTAAACGAGAGTAAAAAATGGAGAACCACTAATCTTTTATAAGATTTAAGTTGTCTGCTATTCGGAATTAAGATAGAATCAGGAAAATCAGATTATACTTTCTAGTTTCAAAATGGCATTCTTATTCGAAGCAATTAAATTAATTGTATAAAATGGTTCTAGAAGAAATTATTTACAGTTCTGAAAATGGCATCATTAATGGTTTGGCGAGTATTTGGTTGAATGGAATTTCGAGTTACAGAAGTTAGATTAGATAAAGCATTATTTTAAATTAGAATTTGAATTACTGTCGATGGTAAAAATCTGATGCTATGTTAGTTATTTATTCCAGAAATTTAAAAGCGCTGAACTAATTTTTATATTATACAGAGATTATTTTTAAATAGTTGAAATGGAATACGAATAAATTCTGTGAATACGAATAGATTCTGTGCCTGGAATAAATTCTGTGATCGTTGCCAGCTCCTCCGAAAATAATTTTACAGAAACATTTCAAACCACATATAAAACAATGACTATTGCATATATTGATTGTTATTAAGTTTTGCAGAGAAACTTGATACCTTTCATCAGTAGTCCTGCGTATCCCAACTTTAAACGTGTAAAACAAGAAGAGACCCATAACACAACTTTAGCAAAATATCTACAAACAAAACGATTCTCACTGCTGACGTTTTGCATGCACGAAAGACGTCATGAAAAGTATATGGAGCAATGCTGTTTTCTGATTCGGTTTCTAATTCTAATTTCTAATCCGGAGGCTATGAAAAATGCATTGGAAGATCTCTGAATGTTGATATTATAATAACAGATGGTGCAAAATTTTAACGTATTAGGAAAATAAAGACTTCAGAAAAAGAATGCTATTTGTAAAGAAATAAAAAATAACTGTTGTGTATGTAAATTATTTTGTAAAATGTAATTACATACGAGTGCTTGTCTTAAGATTTAAGCTCTGGTCGCTTCTTAGATTGCTTTGATTTTACTTGTAATAATGACTTAGTTAAATGATAAGGTAATAAGATTTAAAATGTCTTACATATTTTATTAACATAATCGTTTATCTATAAAGCTAAACGTATTGCACATGTTGACTTTTTATCAGCTTAAAAAGGATTAACATAATTTATTTATAATACCAAATAAAACCTAACAAAGGATAATTTAACTAATTTCTTTGAACACGCTTAATTAATTACAGATTCCTGAAATAATTTCATTGCTGTAGGAAAACTGAAAACAGATTATAAATCTTATTTGTTTAATAAACAACCACAGCCTTCTTTTGGAATCTTGAACCACATTTAAAAAAGTAGACATAGCAATATTTCCAGACTTCGAAAGCAAGAAACTTGGCTGTAAGCGTAAATAAACTAAATTCCTTATTTACATTGATATTAAATATCATAAAATCTAAATTTATGGCTTATAACACTATCTTACATTTACATAACTACTTCGTGCATGCAAAAGTCACATACATACTTATGAATGAATACGTTCAGATAATATCACAACTTGGCTGTGATATATTTAGTCACAGTTAGTTTATAAGTTTTCGGTATTTGAAAGATTCTGTTCTTTACCACCTATACGACGAAATGATAAAGTTTCGATGCTACAGCTAGGCTATACAGAGGTGCTTATAGAATACCTAACTGCGATAAAAAATGAACTTGCAAAACAGAATTGCAAAATATTTTCAAAGTAGCACAATTTTCTAATTTAAGTTGGCAAATCGTTTTTAAAAAAGTATTATGAAAGTTTATTAAACATCGAACTTAGACAAATAAAGACAAGACATTTACCCTCTAACGAAATGAAAATTTTGTTAATTAATGAAAGGTAAAATATTATATCTAAATTTATTGCATTATGAAATACTGGTTAAAGATACTGCATGAACCGTACCTTATTACAGGAAAATTCATGCATTAGATTTTTATTACAGAAGTAAGGGAAACGATATGAGAAATAAAATAAATTCATGTATTAGCATGAGTAAATAATTTCTCATCTAGTTGTTGAATAAAGCAGAAATCATATAAAATCCGAACCAATCATAAGTTTCCAGAAGTATAATCTGCGTTTGAATGTTTCTAAAATGAGAGATGTAAGCTCAAGAAACAAGTAAAGTAAAATATAAAGTATATTTTTATCATTAAAAACATGCAAGCCAACAATGTTTCTAAAATGAAAAGGAATAAAATTTCTTAAATTACGAATCACATAGTGAGTTTTATAAACTTAATACAGATACCCTATAAAAGATAGGAAAATAAATTGAAAGTTTGCGACGAAAAAAGCTCATATTGCCCTAGAATAATTAAAACTTCGTGACAAATGATCTCATTGCATCTGTCATTCAGTTCTAACGAACTCTTTACATCAGAAAATAAATTTCTTTTATATAATCTGCACAAAATTCATTATCTGAACACGAATGACACTTGCAAAGTGCCAAACTTGAATGTCCTCACATTAAAAAAAGGTCTATCGAAATTCACTGGCATCTAATGAAAACAATCAATTCGACACCAAAATATTATTGCTTTCACTAGTACAAAGAAAATTAGTTTATTAGGAAATATATCAGAAAAGGAGCAGTTGTCCGTATTTAACCAGTTTACATTAAATATCAATATTAGATTTTTCCTTCTAGTACAGTTTAAATTGCAAGTCAGGATTCTCAACATTATCTAGCAAACTTGCATGACATTAAAATAAAAAAAATATGACCTCTTTTGAAATTTCTGCACAAAGAATATACACATACTATACAAGAGAAATATCTAGTTGTGGAATGCTTTGGAAATTAAACTGCCATTTAAAAATATTTTTCGATGAAGTGAATTTTATAAACTCATGAAAAATATTACAGAAAACAAAGCATATACAATAAGTTCATATAAAGGATCGCACAGATGCAATTAAATGAAGGAAATACTTTTACGTGATGAATGAATAATTTATTAAGGATATTTTTTCAAAGGCGTTCAGAGTCTCATAGAAGAATTAATAGATGAAAGACAAGCACAAATATCTGAACTTTTAATTAAATAAAATTCACCCTTATACCGGGAAAAAGTGCTTAACAATAAAATCTACAGCATAGCTGTCTTCATTAGAAAGCTAACAATATTGAGTAAATCTTTCTAAAATGTAATGTAATAAAATAACTAAATAAAAAGGTCAACGAAAAATACTGTTCCGCCTCATTGAATGAAATAAAAAAAATAGTGGCTCAGAATCAAAGGATTACATAAAAGAAATTGAATTTCAGAGTATTTTTAAATGCTGAAATTGTACGCTTTTAAAATACCCTGATTTATTAATATAAATAGCAATGTTGACAAACATGTCAAACTGACCTTAAAATAAATTTATATGAAATAATATTGAGAAATGCATATCAGATATCATTGAGGAAAAGAAATCAGATAACATTGATGGATGCAAATGAGATAACAATAAAAAATACTAATAAAATATTTTCATTTGTTTAATGCATAGTTTACTGGTCATTATTTCCATTCTATTAAGTTACCCACTTTTCAACATCGACTAGCTGATTATATTATTGAAACCTTGTTATATCAAAAACATGGAAGATCAGATCGAAAGTAGAAAAAAAAGTAATAACATTAAACTTCTATGCAAGATATCATGGCATTACCTTGCATAGAAATATTTTTGATTAAAGTAGATTTTTCTACATTTTTTTACCTTTTAATATTAAATATAGGAGATCATACATATCAAAATTCTTTTACGACGATGACAGAAATCATTATCTTAACAATTCTTGTAGAAAAGAAAAACCTTCTTACAGATTCCCCTTTTCATCACCTGGAAGCATTCCACTCTAGAATAAATATTTAGAACTGCAACCATATTTTTCTCATTATAATGAAAATCTGATTTTATGGCAAAATTTTGCAAAGGCATTAAACATGTAACTGCCATAGCCTCCTGACTTGGAATAAACTGCTTCTCAAGTACACAGACATCTACAACAAATGCAAAACTTCCAATATAATTGCAAAATTCTAACATCATTGCATAAAATATCTGTCGTTACAGCAATCAACGCAGGAATAGACGGATTCATTAAATTATATAGGAAAATTTATCTAACAAATATTTTTCACAATATCAACATGATATAGAGAGACAAACATCTATGATTATTTAATACTAGAAGTATATTTGCTTCCAGGATGGTTTTTGTGATATAGTTCTTAAATAATTTTTATCGAAGGGAAAATGTGTGATAAGATTCGCAAGGAAAGAATACGTATTATAAGCGAAATTAAGCAGTTTTCAGTTTAATTAAGTATTAATATATTAACAAGAAAATATTTAGGTATATGTCTTAAGATATATACCTAAGACATATATTTAGATATGTGACTTGAGACAAGTAATGTTGAAGGAATTTATTCTATTTGATAATTTAATCTATGTGAAAAGCAATCACGGTTTAATGGGTTTAATCAGCAAAATTTAAGTTACAAAGCTTTTAATTACAATAATTGTGCTTAATAAAAAATGCTATATATTGAAGATACAAATTTATTTAATAAATATGAATTAGTTAAATTAAAATTAGTTTCAGTTTAATTTTTTTAAATCGAAAATAAATTTAAATGGAATTTCCTTAATAAAACTTTGTATTAGAAAAAGAAATTTTATTACAAATCTTATAATTCCATTTTCATAATGGTCTTACAAAAGATTTTAAAATGTTTTCAGAAAGATATAAACAATATTCACCAGTTAAACTAAAATGAACTATTTTTTAAAATAATGAATTTTTTTTGTTTAAAAATAGTTAATTAGGTTACATTTTATAATTTATTCATGTAAATAATGTCCAGAAGTCTGGCTAAACCTTGCATATCGTAAGCTAATCGAGGTGGTTTTCTTAATAACTCGACAAGCAAATTTACAGTATAACAAACGAATAAATGTATTCTTTTTTTCTGAAAGCGCTTTGTTAAGAAGTAAGTTCATATATCTATGTTTTATTTAAAGTTAAATAAATTTAAATTATGTAACTATATGAAACTATGAAACTCCATCTATGTTCTCCATCTTATGTTCTTGAATAGCTTTAGAAATGGTTTAATTTTCCGAAAAAATTTCAAAGAACGTGATAAAATGTTATTGAGAAATAAATCTGAAGTTGTTAAAAGTGTCTAACATTGAACTAAACATTACTGTTTAAAGGAAATTTCACCATTTTTGGCATAAATTGTACTAGTTTAAGACACGTGCATAATTATGCTTAGATACTGATATTATGGTCTAGATGATAATTTATTTTTACAAAAAAAGTATTTGAAATTCTCTTATTAAAGATCGAATATGGTTCTTATTTAAATAACGAAAAATATTTTAAAAATTAACATGAATTATTTAAAAAATACCCAATATCAATAATATGACAATATTATGAATTATTTTAATAGCTAGTTAAAAATTAATCTTTCTCTTCAATAACTGCAATTTTCATTTCTCATTTCTTCAAATCTTCGATTTCGTAAAACTCCAGATTTATAAGCGTCTGTAGAAAAAGCTAATAAAATGCATACAAATTTGGAAGAATTATTCCTTCGAAATTGTTTAGCAAGTTACTCAATCTAATAAATCAGGAAAATCTTTTTCTTCAGTGCAAAAACACATCCAAGAGACCAATTATACTTCTGTCTATGACGTAACAAATTAACGTGTTGCCTCTTCTTCCATAATCACTGCTCTGTATAGGAGGTGGAAAGAGGCATCGGATACAACATTTGCAGAAGATATAAGACACAGATATGACAACATCTATCAAAATGGGAAGTATTGTGCTGAGAAAATATTCACACACACACAGAGAAGTTTCAAAATGCCAACACTGCTTATATAATTGATACTGATACACAGGTAAAATGGTTATCTGTTTAAAGCGCCATTTAATATTTCTCAGCTACAACGTAATTTGTGACGTCATAGATTTTGATTTCTTAAAGACATATAAGATAGTACTCTTTGTAAACGTAACACTTAATGTTTTATGACAATCACAGAAGATTTTTATAAATATCCTCTGATAGCATAAATAAAACTGTTAGTAAATTTTTACTTAGTTAACGAAGGAAAATCGATGATAATAAATATAAAAAGATTAAAAAAAACTTACGGGAGAATTCTAATTGAAATGCGTAAATGCAACCTTTTATAAACTTTAAAAATTCATTAATAAATTTTAGAAGTTTAATATTAAACAATTTTTTTAAAGTTATTTCATACTCTCTAGTAATCCATTTGTGGAAGCAACGAAATTTCTAAAATTTTTTAAATTTTCAAGAAAACGAACGATTATACCACGTGATTACTATGTTCAGAAATCATGTATTTTCTCGACTTCTGAACATATTATTATCTTGGCTATGGGGACATCACAAATGCGCCATTATATTAAAAACAATCACATTGAGAGATGTCAGAAGAAATATTGACTGTGTTAGAGCTGTAGCTGCAAGGACGTTGATAGACACAAAAAAATTATTAACACAGAATAAAAAGTTTTTGGGAATGTTCAATATCTGTTATTTTGGAAAATGATGCGTTAAAGTGCCATTTTAATATTCAACAATTTAAAAAAAAATAAAATTTTAAACGTTATTCTTTGCTTTTAAAGTATTCTCTCTTCTTCAAACCTAACCAGTTAATTTATACTGAATCTCAATAATCGATTTTGATATGTGAATATATTTTATAAACAAATAATGAAGGAAGTATAAATTACTTTTTCCATATGCAATAGTAGATAATTTTATTGTTTTTTATTAGAAAAATGAAAGCTAAAGCATAACCCATATAAGGTGCTTACTTAGTCGAAACTGTTCCAATAAATGGCGCTTTAATACGCATCACATAGACAGAAAGGGCTTAATTTGTAGAAATCGTGTTTACTAATGTACTACGGCTCGTCGTACTTGCGCATCACAGTGTAACTCTGACTGAGCGTGCGCAGTGGGACAGATATTTGGTACCATCTGCGCATATTATAGTAGCACCGTCGTCGTATTCGAGAGAAGCATATGTGATAACACAGTTAAAAACGGCTCTTTGGTAAGAAGCCTGAGACGAAATATATAAATGACATTTAACTGGTATGAGAATTATAACTGAATTTCATATAAGCATGATTTTAAGTGTCACATCACTTTACCAACCTATTACTTTTGATTAAATTTTGATGTTAAAATTAACATTACTCAAACTAAATCTTCATCCATGACTAAGTTTCGAATGAATCATTGAAATCATAAAGTATAGCATATTGTTGAGTTTATAGAACAGAGGCTATTTTTCATATTAGTTATTAATATATTAATAATAAAGTTTAAAGACATATCACCGGAATCTCGAAGATTCCGAATACAGTACAACTCCAATTATCCGAACTCCGACTATCCGAATTGCTGATTATCCGAAACACTTTCAGAATTTTTTAGAATCAACTGAAGAAGAGAATGAAAAGGAGAAAAAGGAAAAGAAGCTCAAGAAAAGGAAAGGGAAGAGACAGGACAAGATGAGGACGACGTGGCACTTGAGGAATTAAGAAACATTCTTTTGAAAATTCCTGGATGTTCAGAAGTTAGTGGGATATGGCATAATGGATGGTGTGTGATTCGTCAGACCCTGGGTTTCAAATTCTGAATGACTGTGAACGTATTGAAAGTGTGAGAGAAGAAAATGTTGAGGAAGAAGGTGGCCTTAATTTCGAAGTTGAAGCACGCATGGGACCATCAGCTAGTGAAGGGTTTGCCGGCCTTGAAACTGCGTTGAAGAGGCTGGAGCGTTAGCCTGAGTGCGACCACATGCAACTTCTCACAGTCAAGCAGATGCGCGACTTGGCTGACTGAAAACGGATCAAGACAGTCAAACAGCTTACTTTGACCGAGATGTTCAGCAAGCAATGACTTTCAGCACTTGTAAGTATTGTACAGTACACTATATAACATGTACGTAAAAGTGTTGCCTTTTCATTTTAATTAATTAAAACCTCTTTTTCTTTAAAAATAGTTTTTCCCCATTTTCAACATACAGTAATGAATTAAAGTGTACATTAGACCCTTTCTTTGGAAAAAATCCAATTATCCGAATGGTGTCCGGTGGAATTCTACTGTACCAGGAAAAAACACATATTTTCTTAACTACAAATTTAAAACACTTCTGCCTCTTTGTACCAGGAACCATTTTATCTAATCATGTTGCTCTATAATTTGGGTATATTTCTAGATATTTCTAAATGTACATACATGTACCTATTCATAGGTATTCGTAGAAATATCATTGATTATATAGACATGTCTTTCACATATGGAGGATTAATGCATCCCATTTAGTTTTGATTCTTAGGATTGAATTCCGTTTTCTTTCGTTATATGAAAGTGAGTTTGATAATTTTTTGACGATTTTTTCGAATTATAATTTTTTGACGGAGTTGAATTTTACATAGAAACTTAAAAATTATCTTGTTTAGTGTATTATGAATAAATAGGCAAATCTTGCTGAAACTGAATATCGCCAAGATGTTAGAAATGCTATTATACTATTTTCCATTCAATAAATTTCCTTCATCCTATTAAATGCAAACGATAACTTTTCAGCAATGTATAAAAACTAAGTTAAAAATTGTATTCTAAATTTCTGAATGAAACTTCGCTTATAAATTGTTTTCTTTTACAGAACAGGTATTGAAGATCTTCTCATGTATTTTTTGCTTAGAAAGGAAGACGCAAGAAAATTTAAACTAGAATTGTTAAAAGTTAAAGTTGTGTATTAAGAACACGCATATTTAAAAGGGGAGTATATTCCTCATATTATCATGTATGATACATTTACTCAACAGAAATAGAATTTATTAATAAGTTTGAGGAATCAAGTCTCATTTAAGTCTTTGAAAATTAATATGTATCAGCATTTATTTTTAAGTACACATTTATAGCATATTAAATCAGTGTTATTCGTCTCAGTTTTCATAGTTTTGAGCCTTTTGCGACATGATGGTGAAGTCTTCTCAAAATGTGCCATGCAATTATGGTAAAACATATTACTTAAATACTTAAGTAAAATTTTGCGTTTATACAAAATATTACTCATATTTAAGCATTATTTTGTGCTTATACAATTGTACAAATCTGCGTGCAAATATAAGATGACGTGATTCGAAATAAGTCTCGAAAGGATTATGTGTTCTAAACGACCACAAAGCATTTTTTCGACTAATTACTTGGATCATAAATTTAGGATTTCCTCAAAAATAGTTGCATAAAAGAACGTCCTCACTATAAAAAAATCTTTGAAGATCAGCTTGATTGCAAATTATTTGTGCCATTTTGTTTCTCTGTAAAATTGCTCTTTTCAACGTAATTGCAACGATCAATCAACGTAGTTTTATACTTATTGATAAGCATTTAATCAGTCTTTTTATATTATCTGAATGCTAATTAAAACATAAATCGTTTTATATTACTTAATGATATGCCTTGTTATCCATATTAGAATATTCTGGGTTGATTGCTTAAGTACATTTGCCCTTCAATCTAAAATAATGCTTCTATGATCTTTCTTTCGGTAAAGCACAATACTACAAGAGCAAGAGATTTACTTCACTGAAATTTCCAAATTTCTAAATTACTGTTAGAACAACATAAGCGAAATTTTTCTTAAATATTTTAATACACATGTTGCTATGTAAAAAATTCATTTTTAGATGTGGCATCGAAACTGGATTCAAATTAAATCCATTAGTAAACTTTTCTGTAGTCAATTACTACAGATATTTTATCAGAGCTTTTATTTCCTTGATAGTGTCTCAAAATTAATATTTTGCAATAATAAACAAATTTTCATTGAAATGTTTCACATTTCTTCAGCTTAAATTAAGCATATATTTTTCTTACCTCGAATGCTAAAAATTAGTCTGGATTAAATTGAGAAAAATCTGAACGCTGTGGAATTTCAAAACAAAATTCTTCTTTCATAGAAAAACCATCCACATGCATTGTTTCCTTTACAGATACGAATAGCGAAAGATAAGTTTTATTTATGAATTTAAAATGCCAGATCAGAATTAAAGTTGTTTATTCTCATTTTTAATATAAACTTGTCTTATATCAGATTCTAACAAAAACTGCTTTAGAATTGAAAAACAAAAATGCGATAAAAGTCATAAACAAAAAAATTCTTTAAGAAAAACACATAAAATGTAAACTTTAAGTCTTAAAAAATAGTTTCTTAATTTTGAAAATCTTTAACCTATCTTAATTATTTAATTAGATATTTTCAATTTTTAATTAGTTTCTTAATTAGATACGCTTCAGATCATGCATTTGACGGAATGTACGATTTAGAACAATAATAGAAAGGCCTTTTTTTATAAGAATGCACGTTCCTTCGGATATTAGCATTAATTAAATATTTTCAAATACTGATTTGTCTCGTGTTTAAATTTTTAAATGAAACTCTTACTGAGGTATCATAAAAATAGTACAATAATTTATTATGATTATGACTTATGATTTGGTCCTAGACTTACATAAACTACTTTTATTTGACCTTCCAGTAAACTTTAGTTAAGAATGACTGGCTTAGAAACATTTGTCTTACTTTCACTTTCTGCTCGTTTAGAATTTAATACTGTTCTGAGTCTTACTTCTAAATCTACAAATTAAGCCCCATCATGATCTGACTTATTCTGGTATACATATTTACGACACTGAATTTTAGTTTTATATAAAGTATATGTATGTATATGTATACATATACACATACATATACGCTGCTACATTATTCCACATGATGAATCTAGATCTCTTCCGATCCAGATCTGCTCATGGTATTATGATATAAACTATATTGCTTTGGCTCATGTCCCTGATCCTTGATTAACACTTGTAAATATTTTCCCACATAAGTTAATTACATGCGTATTTTAAGGATCTCCGCTCTGACCACAAACTTAAGGCATGTGTTTAAGAAAATCAACTCTCTTCAGCGAATTCATTGTTAAGTTCTGCGTGTTTCGTTTCCTAGTACTCGCGTTCCTCGACGCTACCATGCATATAACGATCAGTCGAAGGCTGCTGTACCATTTCCTGTTTCGTCTCGTACACTGGTTGCCATTCCTGAGTTGCTGAGCCGTAGGATGGTGGCTGTGTTTCGGTTAGGGAAGTTGTGGCTTCTGCATAAGACAACGGAGGTCCTCCATTTTGTTTTGGTGCGCCTGAGCTGTCTTTGAAAGCATTTTCAAGAGGGTTCCAAGATGGTCCTTCTTCTAATTCCGCTGGAGGTTCGGCCCAAGGTTGTTTTTCGCCCGAAGCAAAAATAGCGTAAAAGGTTACCCCGCTAAAGTGAATGAGACTAGCGATAAGGAATACCTTTTGCCATTCGTCGGCCGTCTGAAAAAAGATGTCATAATTCACTTATTAAAAGTCAAGTTAGATAAAAACATTGTACATGGAAAATGTCATGAACATATAATATTCACCTAAAGTTCAGTAGGTTGTTCTAGTGCGTACGATGATACAAAGTATAAATATAAGTTCCTACACAATTTTACCACGCAAACGGTTTATTTGATTATTTGATTGCGGCAAAGTACACGAGGGTTAACTGTCTAACGTAAAGAACGTTTTCATGGGAAACATTTTATGTGAAACTAGCTTATATACACATTCGGAAAACTATGAAAAAGACTAACGGAATTCTAATCTGGTTGATCTACTAGTGTACCGACAGGCTTAAACAGTCGGATGTTGGTGAGTATTACCTTTCTTTAGAAAGAACTAATAAAAATTGGAAAATTAATGTTAGTCACCTATGTATTGATAGCAACAAAACTCTGAAGACTATCTGCTTCAGAAGGAAAATTTACATATTGAACTTTTTACCTGAACTAGTTCATAATTCTAGCACACAGGATAAAATTACGATTATCTTTCCTTCAGGTAGGAGCCTAAACTGAGGCAAAGCTAAAATTCTATACTACTTCAGCTATTCAGTCCATTGTCCAGTGAAGACTAGATAAAAACAAAAAAACTATAAAGCTTCAGCAAAATACTGATGATAATCAGTTTTTGGTCTAAAGTACTCGAGCCTTTGCAATTTGATAATGATCAATTGTAAACACTTCTAAAAAAAGACGCGCAACTCTTGGCACTAGAACCCATTTTATTAAATAATCTAAAGCAAGAAATGTTGATAGAAAGATCAGTTTGTTGCACATATATGCATATAGTATAACTGTCAATTTAAATAGGGTTCCAGTTATTTAAAATAGAACAACTTGGAATAAACATCAAAGGACAAGTCCCAATAAAAATTATAATTAGGGACTTATTTAAGAAACATACACTACTCAACAAGAATATTACTTGCCTAGAGCAAAAGCATCTATTATTAAGAGCTTGATTTCTTGATCTGTGAAATTCATTAATAAAACTTTGATATTTGGGATTTATTCTTTAAATTATGAATATTAATTAAGGATGACAAATTAATAAACCAAGACCACCAAAATATTAATACGCATTAGCATATATTTTCCTTTTTTATTTTGAGAAAAAGTGTGATATTTATATTAAGAAAAAATTCAGTTATCCTATTGTAGGGTTTATATTTATTTTAACTAACATTTATTTTAAGTTTAAACTATCTTTCCTGTCAAGCCTTACTTTCCCCTGGAATTGCCAATGCCATAGTATGTAAATTTTAGTAGAACGCGCAAAGTATTCAAAATTGTCAGCGGAAGTAATCTGAGTTAAATAGAAGGGAATCGAGTTCGAAAGTGTGCTTTCTTGCTTCACGAGCGTGGAGGTGGCTAGGTAGAAATTGAAGAACCACGCGTTTCGGCCTGTGTGCTTGCCTCAGTAGATAGTTAAATCTTTCAACGTAATATTCAGAAGTTTGCTGAATGTCAGCGGTATCTTAGAACGCGGTTAGGTTAGTTACGTTTAGAGAGCCTCGTAGGTTAGTCACTTGTTATTATTCATTTTTAGTTTCTTATTTTTATTTTACCGCCGGGTCGGCGTAGTTTGTGAGCGTCAAGAGCACGCATCTGTAATTTCTAAAGTTGAATAAAAAGGGATTTAAACCCTTCTCAAGACTTTGTATACTTTCCAGTTCATAGCAGTCACCACTATTGTTGCGTGCAGGTTGGAAGCGCGCAACATTACATTGGCGCCCGAACACTTGTCGAAGTGAAACGGCCGAAAACTGGATGGAAGCTGCTGGACAACAACAAGAAATGGCAAGCCAATTGGAAGGATTTGGATACCTGGTCCAGACGATGAGAGCGTGAATCAAGCCAAACGTCAATTTCGACGGAAAAAATTCGGTGGCGATATTTCTAGAAGGCCTCGAAAATCACTTCCAGCTCTACCCTGTGCCTGAAAGACAAAAAGTTGCCATCGCCACATCTGCACTAAGAGGACAGGCCTCGTTATGGTGGAAGAATATAAGCAAATTTTCATTAGGGGAATTCCGAGGCCATACATATACATTTGAAAATTTCAAAAAATCGTTATCAAAGGCCTCTCCCATAGTGAAAGACTGAGCAAGGCTAGAAGCCGAACTATATAGTTTTTATCAACGGAATATAGAAGAGTTTACGGACTTTATTCTGCGAAAAATTAAGCTGACGGATATGCTGTATGGGAAGAAACCCGACGCGGAGATTATTGAAATAATCTTACCAAGATTGCTACCTGCTGTTCAAGATTATTTCGAAATTAGAAACCCAAGCACATTGCAGGAGCTCTTCGAATTGGCGGTCAAGTTCCAAAATGGCAGAATAGCGGAAAAAGCTAGAGGGGCATCGTATTCTCAAAGTATCCGAAGGCAATCTTCTTCAAATGAGCAGACCAGAAATGCAAACCGCTCTTATGGGAGAAAGAGCTATCAAGCTAACTCATCGAAGCTCGAAGGTCAAGGCCCAAAAAGGAAATTTGAAAACAACTGTCCGCGTACCCAGAAGGCAGAAGTTGAAAGGAAAGCTTTAAACGAGTAGAGGGGCCTGTAAAAGCGAGGGTCCAGACCCCGGAAGTTTTGAAAAAACCCTCAAGAAGATACTTAAATACGGTCATCTTAAAAAACTCACAATTACCAATTATACAAGTCTTGGTTGGCGATGTACCAGTAGAAGCCCTCATCGATACAGGAGCAGAAGGTAATTTTATGAGTGATATTTTTTTTTTTAAGAAGAATTTTAATAGGTTACGATTATTTAAAAATAAAAACACAGAAATCATAGCAGCGCAAGGACAAACTTGTCGATGTATTGGAAAGTTGTCTTTAAAAATACAGGTTGAAAGCCTTAAAGTATTAATTTTTGTAGTAAAAAACTTGCAAAGTCCACTTATTTTAGGTATGGAGTTTTTAAAAGCCGCGAAGGCCAAACTGAATTTTCAGGAAAGTTCTATTGTGCTGGAGATGGATCGGAGGGTGGTGGAACCAGTGGAACAACCGCAAGCCGAAGCTTAGCCATTTGAATGACCATGAAAGCCAAGCCATCCAGCAAGTGGTGAGTACTTTTTCAAACTTGTTTTCAGAATGGCCTGGTAGTTGTCAAATAGTTACGCATGAGATACAGTTAACTGCCGACAAACCCTGTAGGACTAAACCTTACCGCTATGATAAACAGAAAGAGCAAATCATAGAAGAACATATTCAGGAAATGTTAAAGAACCAAATAATAACGCCCATAAATAGTGAGTACGCGAGTCCAGTCGTACTATGTAGGAAAAAGAACGAGTTTCCTCCTTCGGATAAAAGGGCTTGGAGGTTTGCTATCGATTACAGAAAACTTAATAGTGTTACTAAATTCCCAGTTTACCCTTTGCCGGTTATAGAGGAAATTATTAGAAAGATTAAATCTACAAGATACATGACTACGTTTGGACTTAACGTCTGGCTACTATCAAATAGCTATGAGACCCGAAGACATACATAAAACCGCGTTTATAACAAAATCGGGCACTTATGCATTTTTACGCATGCCCTTTGGGTTGTGTGGGGCCCCATCAACATTCCAGAGAGCTATGGACATTGTTCTAAAGCCTGTCCTAGGAAAATCGACTTTAATCTATCTAGATGATATAATTATAACGAGTAGTACGTTGGAACAACATATTAAAGATCTAGAAGAAGTTTTTAAATTATTAAAAGAGGCCGGTCTTACAATTAACGCCTCAAAATGCAAGTTCGCAACTAAAGAACTTAAATATCTGGGTTATAAAATTTCGCAAAAGGGTATAGAAACTCAAGATTCAAAAATAAAAGCCATCAAGAATTTCCCACCTCCCAACACCGCCAAGAAACTTTCTTCTTTCCTTGGGTTATGTTCTTATTATCGGTCATTCATAAAAGATTTTGCTAATATTGTTGAACCCTTGTTAGTAATTAAAAGAAAGAAAAGTAAATTCACGTGGACAGCAGAAGCAAATACCGCATTTGAAAGGTTAAAAGAAGCGCTCATCAATGCCCCTGTTTTGAAATTCCCGGAGGGGGACGAAAACCTGGAAATTGCAGCAGATGCGTCGGACTATGCTGTGGGTGCGGTTCTTATGCAAAATAGGCCATCCTTTGGCATATTTTAGTAAAACATTGAATCATACACAAAGGAATTATACAGCTACAGAGAGAGAAACATTAGCCGTATTAATGGCTGTACACAAATTTCGAGTTTATTTCGGCAAAGCGCCAGTAACAGTCTTTTCGGATCATGCGGCTGTTGGTAGACTTTACTCGGGGAAAAAACCTAACGCCCAGGTTAATAAGATGGGCTTTAAAACTTCAAGAATATAATCTCATAATTAAATATAAACCGGGTAAGGAAAACAATGTAGCTGACGCACTTTCTCGTATAAAACTGGACGATGAAGGAAATGAACTCAAATGCGCTGTGTTGACTTCAAAAATTTTAGATTCTAGAGATACAATTATTGCTGAATTGAAAGCTGATCCTGAATTTGGAAGTATCTATGCATATTTGAAAGACCCCGAAAGCTTTGAGCACACAGATATCGATGCGATAAGAAATAGAGCAGAAAACTATGAAATAATAGATAATTTATTATTTTATACGAAAAGAACAAAAACGAAAATCTCGAGTACAAACCAGTCATCCCAGCCTCGCTTCGATTAAGCATTTTGAAGGAATTACACGACGCGAAAACAGCGGGTCATTTAGGGGTCAGAAAGACTTTAAAAAGGGTACGCGAGGCGGTATATTTCCCGCAATTATACAAAATAGTAACTGCGTATGTCAGGTCCTGCAATCAATGTCAGTTAATAAATGATATTAATTACAGCCCGGCCGGGTACTTAAATAGCATTCGCGCTACATTTCCGAATGAAATTTTAGGCATAGATCTTCTTGGTCCTTTCCCCCAGAGTGAGTTAAATAAAAATCGTTTTCTTTTAGTAATTGTAGATCATTTTTCAAAATGGACAGAAATTGTTCCACTTAAACGCGCGTCAGCCAAAACAGTCGCAGATGCATTCTTACACAGATACATTTTAAAATACGGTGCACCGATAAAAGTCATTAGCGATAACGGATAATTCACAAAGCATATCGTAAAGGAGGGATAGCTTTCAAGGGAAACTGGCTCGTATACACGTTGAAAACCACAAAAACGCCCATGCAGCCAGCCCGTTGCGGGATTCGAACCTCAGACCGAACTACCAGTGTTCAGCGTCTTTACCGCTACGATAACGGTAAACATTCGTTAGCCAAATATTTGAAAATATTGCACTGGACTTGGCATACGCCATATCAAAATGGTTCCGTATAGACCACAGGCAAACATAGCAGAAAGAGTTAATAAAAATATTGTAAAAATAATTCGAAGTTATGTTAGCACACATCACAAGCGCTGGGATGGCTACATAAATGAGTTAGCTTATGCTTTAAGAACGGCAAATCACGATACTACGGGAAAAACCCCAGCAGAATTATTTTTAGGACGGAAAGTTAATTACGCCATTAGATAAATTATTCTTTGTGCAACAAAGAGAGCAAGAATTTAAACAAAAGATGTGCAAAAACTCATTGACCAGGCGGTTAAAAGCTCGGATACGGCAAGAAATAGACAAAAATTATACTATGATAGAAAACGCCGTGAAGCAGATTTTAAAGTTGGGGATAAAGTGTTGAAGCGGAAATTTTCTTTATCAAGTGCCCCAGACAATTTTACTGCAAAGTTAGCTCCAAAATTTGAAGGCCCCTATGTAATTCAGGAAATCAAGGGAGTCGTATTGTACCTTAAGAACGAGAGAGGGGAAATCTGTAAAGCAAGTCCCGACCAGGTGAAAAAATATTATAATCAAAATGATTTTGAAATCCTTAAAAGTTTCTTGCAGGACTCAAGCGTAAAAGAAGTAGAAGGTCCAGAAGTAACGTCACCCGCTCCACCACCCAAGAAGCAGAGAACTGAAGAGAAACCTAGCCCTTCTACAAGTCATGCGACGGTACCGAAAAGAAGAAATGAAAACGTTCAGACTCCAGCATTTAAGAAATACAAGAAAGCAACGCCGCCGCGTAAAGAAGCTTTGGTAAAGAGGAAAAGACCACTTACAACGTATCGCAGTAGAAATTCTGCATCGAGGAAAACGCTTCCAGGGCCAGAGTGTCAGGTGCAAACAAGGCCGCCGTTCCCGAGAACGAAAAGACAGCAGGAGGAACGAAAAGACCACCACCAACAGAAGAAATTCAAGCATGACTCCAGACCGGAGGACGCCAAGACCAGCCGTCCAGGGAAAAAACGGAAAAGACAGCAACCTGACGTCTACCACTCCAAGAGGCCAGCATACAGAGGGCGAAAAAGAAATATCAACATGGACGACATTCGAAGGACACAAAGGAGACGACTGACGTCGATGAATTCCATATCGTGGGAGCAGTTCTGCCAGAAGAGGATGTCGGAGTTCCAATCATCGAAAACTCAAAGATAAGTTAAAATCTTCTATAAAATTTTTTTCTTTTGTTCCGAAATGTTATGCGTAAATACGAAGTTCTATGTTTTGACGGAAGTCAATTTGTCTCGGTTGAGACTTAGTTTTGTTTTACTTTATTTAGCTAAGGCAAAAGTATTATTTTCTTTAAGTATAAAATCTAAGAACAAGCAGTTTCTGTTGGTCGAAAGAATAATTCTGTTATGTTAAACCAAAATTTGGCCGAAGATAAAAATAACTTCGTATTCTTATATTAATAAGAAATTTAGTTTCAGTGCGCCAGCTTGGCGAAGAATGCGTAAAGTAAAAATTTATTTTTCTCTTATTCATTTTATGGTAAATTGTAAAAATCATATGTATTAGAATTTTGTAAATATACGTAAATACTTGAAAGTTATGTAAAAGTAGAATTTAGTCTAGAAGCATAAAATTTTAGATGCTAAAAGTAAATGCTCAAAAGGAATGAATTCAAATTTAAGTATTAAACTGTAGATAAAATCATGCTTTAGAGCGAAAGCCTGCATGTCTAAAGATGAATGAGGGAGAATTTAGAATGAATGTGTTTTGTAGGGTTCTCCACCTACACTTGAATTTTAAGAATGTTAAAATAGCTCATCGAGTTTTAGAATGTCGAGTAAGGTGTGTCTATTTGGTCGTTGAATTCTAACAAATCATTGTGGTTAGGGGAAGTGTTGCAATACTAAAACACTAATATTCCCGTTTGACACCACACATGGTGGAGAGCCAGGGTAAAGTTAAATTCATGTTTGAATACTTGAATGAATGTGAATTAAGCAGTAACTAAGAAAAATAAATCGATCAAACACAAAAACTTATTCAGTGTCAAGAAAGTGTAAATTATAATGTATTTAGAAAGATACTGATACTTATTCCTTCCAGATGCTGGAAGGAAGAGAACAGATTGATTCCTGAAGTCCAGAAAAGGTTGCTGTAAGAAGAGAGGGTTAAATAAGTATCTACAGAAATTTATTCTACCTTTTGTGAGAAAACAGTTTTTTTATGTAAACGAGGCTCTTAAATTTTAGTTCAGAATTGTGGAAACTTTTCAACAGGTTGTTTCTAGGACCTGCTTCCAAGTTTACCCAAATTCTGGCAGCGGCAAATGTAGGGTTTATATTTATTTTAACTAACATTTATTTTAAGTTTAAACTACCTTTCCTGTCAAGCCTTACTTTCCCCTGGAATTGCCAATGCCAGAGTATGTAAATTTTAGTAGAACGCGCAAAGTATTCAAAATTGTCAGCGGAAGTAATCTGAGTTAAATAGAAGGGAATCGAGTTCGAAAGTGTGCTTTCTTGCTTCACGAGCGTGGAGGTGACTAGGTAGAAATTGAAGAACCACGCGTTTCGGCCTGTGTGCTTGCCTCGGTAGATAGTTAAATCTTTCAACGTAATATTCAGAAGTTTGCTGAATTGTCAGCGGTATCTTAGAACGCGGTTAGGTTAGTTACGTTTAGAGAGCCTCGTAGGTAGTCACTTGTTATTATTCATTTTTAGTTTCTTATTTTTATTTTACCGCCGGGTCGGCGTAGTTTGTGAGCGTCAAGAGCACGCATCTGTAATTTCTAAAGTTGAATAAAAAGGGATTTAAACCCTTCTCAAGACTGTATACTTTCCAGTTCATAGCAGTCACCACTATTGTTGCGTGCAGGTTGGAAGCACACAACATTACACTATTTTAGATACCCCGAATATTAATTCTGCATAAAGGAGAGATGAGAGAGTGCAACTATAAAATAAACTAAAAGTGTGATATCGTGAAGTTTAAAAGAAAAACTTAGATCTCCCCTTATATTTCTGCATCTGTATAGTGACCAGGAAAATGACATGTTACCGCAATTTATTTGAAATTAAAGAATTTGATTGAATATGCAGCTCATTCAACGCTTTTGAGACTAAGTGTGGTAGCAATAAGAATTAAACGTAACCGCAATTTACGAAGACTTCAATGAACTTACTTTATGAGTCGTAAGAGCTTCGACTACCAGTGGGCACATCAAGCCGGACAGCGTTCCAAAGCCATTTGACATTCCCATCAGGATGCTAGCATATCGAGGAGCTATGTCAAGATGGTTCACGTTGAAGCCTATTATAAAAACACGATATGAATAAAGAATACTTAAGTATGAACAAATAATTCAAATACACTAATTAAATACACTAATGTCCATAAATTAAGGTAATGCAAAATCAGGCAAAGGAAGAGTTAGAAGCAAAACAAATTTGACTTATTTGTAAAGCTTATTTATTAAACAAAAGGTAAAGAGCAAAAAAAGATGCTATATGTTTGATATTATTAAAAAATTAGCGATTTTTTCTCCCTGGAGCAAATTACAAAAACATTTATAAAAACCAATATTACATGGTTGGTATGACTGTTAATACATTGTATGTCCCCCAGACGATGCAATACAGTCCGTACAACGCCTAGGCATGCTGAGTATCAAATTATCGATCTGATCTTGGGAGATATTACACCACTCAAAAAGCAATGGCTCTCCGAAGTTCCGGAAGACATGTAGGAGGAGGTTGACGGGCTGCAACTCGTCGGCCAAGCATGTCCCACACGTGCTCTACTGGATTCAAGTCCTGTGAGAATGGTGGCCACTCCATACGGGTGATATCCTCCGATTGAAGGCATTCGCTTACGATGTTTGCACGGTGAGAACGGGCGTTGTTATCCATAAACACAAATTGTGCGCCCATGGCACCCCGAAACAAACGTACATGTTGTTCCAGAATGACGTCCCGATAGATTTGGCTTGTTATGGTTCCAATTTGAACATGCAGGTCAGTTCTGGAACCCAGAATAATTCTACCCCAAACGAGCACTCCTGCACCACCGTAACGGTGTCGTTTAATGATGTTTTCTTGGTGGTAACGGGTACCTGGAGCTCTCCATATGAAAGTCCGACGAGAATCAGACTCCAAGCTAAACCTGGACTCGTCGGAAAACATCACACAAGTCCACTGTTGCGGTGTACACAATGAGTGTTCTCTACTCCAGGCTAACCGCAGGCGACAGTGAGTTGCAGTAAGTGGAACGCATCTGACAGGCCTACGAGCATATAGACAAATCTGCCCTAAGCGTCTGTACACGGTTTACCTTGAAATTGTCGTACCAGTGGCTGAGGAGAGCTGAGGAGACAGGTCTGAGGCTGTTCTCCGCCTGTTTGTTTTGGCAGTAACTGCCAAATACCGGTCCTCATTCGGCGTTGTAACTCTGGGGCGACCTGTGCTGTAACGTCTACTCACATTACCATCATCTTGGAATCGGTGCCAAAGCCTGGAGATGACACTCTGGGCAATTCGAAGTTCGTCTGATACTTCCAGTTGGGTACGCCCACATTCCAGACGGCCGATAATCCTACCACGTAAAAAATCATCCAAATGCGTCCTTTGTGTCATAACTATTCGGTTATTGCACTGAAATGCTTATAAAGCGCCTGCGAACAGTTTTACTTCTTTGCCTGTATTCCTTATATATCATTCTCTTACACTCTCTTCATTGTGACTTACCATCGGTGTCATCTGGATACTTCCTGAAATTTGCATATGATTTTTGAAGATGTGTGTAGTGATTTTACAGGTGATATATTATTTTAGAGTTCGATTTCCGCGTGACTTCGAATTATCCTTAATTTATGGACATGAGTGTATTTCAACTATCGTTTCGCAAGATATTTGGAAAGCCAAGTCATTCAGTCCTCACGTAAGATAAACGCTACATACGAAACAAAATTACATTATACTTGACTTTTTTCAATGGCCAGAAACAAATGGTTATTAAGCATTTCTACTCAAAATTGCTCATTAAGTATTTGCCGGAAATAGGTGAACCAATGGATACGTCATCCAGCCGTCTCATGGAGCCTTGTCCAAGGAGCACTACAAATGGCGATCGAGAAGACGGGAGGCGGGATGATGAGTACGCAATTGAAAAGCAGAAAATGAATCTGCACTCTTGGATTTGGATTGGCATTCAGCTTTCGCTATTCATCATACTGTCTAAGCTGCGCATTCTGCTTAAAGAGTATGATGGAAAATTTTACGTACCATTAATAAAAAATTTATGTACTATATTTTACGTCTTATTAATAAAATTATATTTTTTGAAAATACATTTTAATTATGTAATGAGTTATTCCTAGAGATAATTCGCAGTATTATTTCAAGGTGAAATATGCTCAGTATCTTCACTAAAATAATGAAAACAAAAATATACATGTCGTTTTCCCGCCGGTAATTAAAAGTTCGTCAGGTAAGAAACAATACTTCGGTTATTGAGACCCATACCGTACCAGATAAAGATTTATGCACTGAAAATATTGCTTTTTGCTCCAATTCTTTCCCAAGTTTCGCATTTGACACGAGGAACAATTTTAATACACTGCGAACGAAGCTTTAATTTAAAAAAGCATTTCATGAAACTAAAAGTCTTCATAGTTAATCATATTCATGGCGTTCAATAACACTACTCAAACAACAGATAGATTTCAGTTACTCAAGTTAAGTTTCAAAAAATTTCCTTCGTTTATAAAAGATTGCATTTATTCTCAATTAATTACATGTATAATCATGCTGGATCACATTTTCGCGATAAAATGCAATATATTTTATCTGATCAAAAAAGATGCAAAATTTGACATCTGATAAACCAGTGGTTCCCACTGTTTAATCTGCGATTAAGCTGTGTATAGTGTGTGTGTGTGTGTGTGTGTGTGTGTGTATGGGGGGACTGAAATAGTTCTTGAGAAGTTTTGACTGTCATGAAAGGATTTCAAGTAATCTTCACTTTATTGTTAAATTACATATGTCTATTTTCAAGTCAATAAAATTATAAATTTTTATTGCTTGTTAAATAGTTACTTATGTTTTCTATTACAGTTACAGAACTACACTATTTTCTTAAATGAATCTTCTTTTTCACTTCCTTACTTGTAGTCCCGAAAAATTTCGGGTATCGTGTTTCAGCGGAAATATCCATTTTGACTGCTCCCGAATCCATTTAGGCGACATTTTTTGCGTGACATCTGCACCTACGGACAGAATAAAAGGCTGTTTTTTACAGAAAGGTTTGTCAAATGGATTCAGAAGGGGAATTTTCATGACGTCTGAATGTATCTTAACAACAAGATTAGCCGTAGTGTATTGAAATTTTTATATGGGACTGCTATTAATACCTCCGTACGTAAAGGGGTTAGAAAAAAATATGGAATTACAGAAATACAAACATATTGCTGAGACTAATACGGTGTAGGGAAACCGTTGGCATTTAAAATAACTTTCAGTCTTATCGGAATGGATAAATAGAGGTCTTGTATGCTTTGCAAGGTAATCTTATGACCATTCGACCTGTAAAACGTCGGCTAGTTCAGTTAATGATGGCTGTGGATAGCGCACACGCAGATTTCTCCCCAAAATAGTCCACAAAGGCTCAATAATATTGAAATCTGGTGATTGTGGTGGCAATGGTAGATGTGAAAGTTCACCCTCATACTCAGAAAACCAGTCCAGGATGATGTGAGCTGAGAGAACAGATGCTCTATCGTCTTGAAATACGGCATCACCATTGGGGAACAAAATTTGTACCATGGGATGTACGTGATCAGCCAAACTGTAATGATGGATCTCATGGAATACCACTATATGGCTGCCCAAACCATAATCGAACTCCCGAACCATAGTCGATCACATTAACCTAACTACTAACGGTATTAAGTACAACAGCGAGTATATTAATTACGAGGCTGGGAAGTTTGGAAAACACTCTGTTGTACAGTGTAAGTGAAGCAATGTATTTAGAAGGCAAAATCGTTGAAACAAAAAATTAAAGAAAGAAAAGCTGAAAATAAAGAATCATCATGAATTTAATAGCAAAACACGAACATTTCTGAAAAATAATTAATTTTTGCCAGATATACGTACACGAAACTAAAAACAGCTTTACTTCTACGTAAGTTTCACTTCAGGAACTAGTAATAAACAACATAATTTAATATCTAAGCACAATGGTTGCACTATTATTAACCTTTATAAAAATACGACATATTAATAAACTCGACCGCATCGCTTTATTATACACTCTCAAAAAGTATATGCAACCAGAAGGAAAGAACTACTATCACAAAACCTAATATATATGTAGTATATGAGGAGATAAACAAATGATTACAAGTTCAGAACAAAAGTTACATTAATAAGTTATAGCATGAAGAAGGTTACAAATTAATAAGTAGTATAGCCACCTCTAGCAGGTATACAAGCCAAAATGCAGAGTGGCATTGAATTAAGTAGGCCACCTATGACTGCCTGCAGAAGATCATGCCATAATCTTTGCAACTGCGGAGTAATTTAAGCAATATTCCTGGACGGATGAGAAGACATTGTTGGGAGAGTCGCGCAGTATGTAGACGAGCGTTGTCTTGCTGATGAGTGGCATCTGGCCGAATTGATAGCGTAGGGCGTACAACCGGTGTTAAAAATATCGTCCACGTAAGTGCTAGTAGTCATAGTGCCTTCAGGGATGACCAGAGGTGATCGTGTGTCCCAATAAATCGCTCCCCACACTATCACACCTTATGTAATCGCCGCGTGCCGCTCGACCTCAAACGCCGGATCGGACTGCTGGCCTGGCCGCTTCCACATGCGTGTGCGTTGATCAACAGCACTGAGAGTGAATTGGGATTCATCGCTGAAGATAACATCCTCCAGTCGGTTACACTCCACCTTGGCCAATTCGGTAAAAATTCAGTCGACACTACCTATGATGTGGGGTCAGTGGTAGGCATCTTAAAGGATGTCGGTAGCATATGTCAGCGTTGGCCAGTCGTCTCCGAATGGTTTCCTTTGATACCACGGGATGCCTGAAAAGTTATCGATACTAGCGATGTTGTTGGTACGGAAGTGGTCGCTTTTTGTGATTGCGCGATCCTCGCGTTCATTTGTGTTCCTGGAACGCCCTGATCCTCCGCGTCGGTAGATTATCCCTTCCGTGATCCATTGTCGCCAACCGAGCAACTACCATATCGCTCCGACTGAGGTGGCCGCCGATACGCCTAATCGACCAACCTGCTTCTTTGAGGCCTTCTATATACCCCTTTTCAAAGTCTGACAACTGTTTGTACTGCCACCAGTTACATCTCAGAGGCATCTCTAGTCACAATACATTCCATCTAAGTCGACATATTCGTTTGAATACCACCTACAGTACGAACAATCATGCTTTTAAACTCTCCCTGCTGTGCTGCGCATATCATATGCGCATAGCGCACTTATTCTTGTCTCAATGGCGTCAAAATTTAAATCATTTGCATATCTCTTACCAGACTACATTCCTGCCGAGTTTAGTGACTGTGGCTCGATTTCTTGTGGGTGCATATATATATTTTTTTGTGAAAGAGTGTTTAATTAGGTTATCGATACGCAATTTGAAAATTTATGCATTATGATATGTTCAGACAGTAAACACTTACAAAATTTCTTGAATTTTATATTTCACTCTGTTTTAACAAATATCAGATTTTGTGCTTTTTTTTTTCTTGCGATACTGACTTACACACATACGGAGCAAATTTTTTTTTGAAATTTAGCTTAACTAATAGTTTAAAAAATCTTCAATAGTTAATAGTACGGGGCATCAAGTACCTGAAATCGCAAATCCGCTGAATCCTACGGCAAAGATCAAAGCCACAATGGCCGTCGCTGTACTTCGCGTATATCCTACAACCAATAAGAAAAGAGCTTCCAGACCAAAACCTGAAAAGAAAGCATGTTTATTATTTTATATTGTTATGAAATAAAGTTTCACAAACCATGCATTTAATTATTGATTGCAAAATTCTATCGAAAAATTTTAATATTCATAACATCTTGGAGCTTGGAAAATTTTCAGATAGCCACCATTTGATAGACATAAGTGCAAAAATATATTTGTGATGGAAAATTCAAATTTATGCCTCTAGAGTTTAGATAAAAATGTCTCTAAACTTCAAAATCTAGGAATCCGAAGCTTTGCAGGTGTCTCAGAATCTTTACATATGCTTTGTTGCAAGATAACTTTTGTGAAATTTGATTTGCAGGTTTTTAGTAATGCATTTTTCCACTTTTTACCTTTATTCCGTATCAAATCTTAGTCTCAAAGTTTAAAAACACGTATTTGATAAACTTTATGTAAGGTAAGAAACTGGTGCTATTGAAATTGTTAATTTTTTAATCCTCAGCATAATTATCAGATAATTTTGTATTGTAGAGAAGTTCACGCACTTATTCTCTAAATATAGTTTTAGTACATTAAAAGATACAGATTCAACAAGAATGATGTGCGACCTATTAATCTATGACGTAGTATAACTTTATTGTTTAGAAGAAGACCGCAATAAAAATGTATATATTTCAACTTTTAATATCCTTTATTTATTTTTAACGAATTATTAGAACATAATACATTAAATACTTTAACTGGATATAGTATATTATTTTGCTAAAAAATATCAAAATTAAAAAACACGAAAGCATGTATGAAAAATATGAGCGTTTTTTAAAGACAGTAATTACGCAAATTGATTACTTTAAGAATAAATCACTGAGAAAGTTGGACTCTAATATTTCGTCACGTCTAGTATTGTACCTGATCTATTCAATTTTAAATTTGTATTAAAGACCCCAGTTATATCTATGAAAACTTTATTCATAAATGTGACTGTTTGTGAATATAGGTGGAGAAATAATTGCAATTTTTCCCAATTTAAAAAAATGCTTTTTCTGGAGAGACTGACAGAACGCAAAAAGGCAACTTTAAGCTACATCAACCTCAGACTGCTTTTTTTTTGCATAATTTTGGATTTTATAATTCGTTTGTTTTTCTGCTGATTTAATACCTTTACAGAAGTTTAACCAAACAGCCTTTCTTATCTTTAGTTTTCCATATTCTTATTATAAGAGATAATCTACGTCATATGGAATTACAAAATGATCGAGTTTGCAAAGAAAATGGCGCTTTTATGATTCGAGGATGTAACATCATGGATATCTCCAAATTTTGATAATGTGGCTTTCTTGTCTAATAATGTTACATGCTATGAAAATGTTGCTTGAATTATTGATAACATTTTGGAAAATATCATGCAGAGATTTGAAAATGTTGCTTGAATTATTGATAACGTTTTGGAAAATATCATGCAGAGATTTGACTTACCTCCACAATTAAATATTTTTCTGACGGAAGTAGTGGAGAGAATTTCTCTCCTTCTTAAGTAATCTGCCAGCTGCCCACCAAGGGGTACCACCATTGTCATGAGTAGATGAGGAAGAGCTCCAATAATTCCTGACTATAAAGAAAATATGTACAAGGTTAAAAAGTAGAATTTAATATGACTTTGTGGAGTCTCACTAGCAAAATTATTTGCAGCCGTATAGAGATCTTTTCGCTAATTTGTATTATGATTGCCTTCCCTATTTCTGTGCACTATCATAATTTTTTCTTTTATTTTGGACATCGCAGTTAGAAATCTCGAATATATTTCTCATAATTTAAAATTTAGAGAAAATAAAAGCAATACACATTTTAATCAGTTCTTATTACTTTAACTTTGAGAATTAATTAATTATAAGTTCAAATATTAGAAAATGCACAATTTCGAAAAGGGAAAGCCTTTCGCACTTTATGGAAACCGTTTTCTGTATGAACATTCGAGTTGCTATTCTGAGATAAAGATTTGTCCTTTTCAGTATAATCGAATGTTACTTTTGTCTTGATTGATATTCAAAATAACAGATTTAGTTTAAAATGTCTCTTGAAATTGCCATTTGAGTCAAAGGTTATGTAAATGTATTTTGCGGGGGAAAAATATTCGTATCAACAAATTGTAAAGCCGTGCAAAAAAGTCGAGATTACTGCGTTTCAAAGAAAAGTATTTTTAATATTTTAAATATGAAAAGGAAAAGAGTCTAAACTAAAAAAAGCTAAAAAATGGTCACAAAACCGTAATCTTGAGATTGTTCGGATGCATGTAAATATTAAGAAAGCGAAGCTCGTGATCTTAAAAGAAAATCCACCGACACCAAACATCCATTGCATCAAAACTGTGAATATCTTCTGGCACTGTAAGTAAAATCATTCATAAAGATTTAAAGTTCAAAATTATGTTTAAACCTAAAGTTCATATAGGATAGGGAAACAAATTGTAGAAAATTTTATGAAAAACCTCTAGCTGCTGATAATAGGAAATATTTTTTAACACTCGATGAAGCATGGATGAATTTAGGTGAATGTAATAAAAAAAGATCACTTTTCTATTGAACTGACAAAAATGACCATACGAAATAGCTCCGTACAGAAAAGTTCCGAATGAGATTCAAGACTGTTGCAAGATTCATGACTGTTTCTTAAAACAGCAAATTAAAACTGAAAAAAATGTCTCAAGTAAGGCTAGAATAAGTTCAGCAGAATATTTAAGAACCAAGTTTTGAAGAAGAAATTTCAGCTTAATGGAAAGGGCATATTTAAAGTTGAGCTTCATATGGACAAACCTTCTAGTGACATGTCTAAGTCAACTGTTGCTCGTATAGCAAAGAGAGAATCAGAAGCAAGATCAAAATGTACTCCATTTAACGAAAGGCCATGTAAAATCAATTAGAGCTTCTTCTACAGACATTTGCATTATCAGTTTGTTAAAAATTTAGAAGATCTTAGAAAAAGATCAAATGAAGCTTCTCCTACGGACCTTAGCGCTTTGAGTTTGTTGTAATGAGTCTTAGAAAAGCGGTAACCAAGAAAACCGAATAGACTTTGGAAAACGATCCAAGAAGCGTGGACTAAAATTGACGGTGCTAAGGAAGAGTTTACTTTCATGCAAAATTCAAGCTAGAGCAATAGCTAAGAATAAAGGCTATCAGAAAGAAGCAAATCACTTCAAGAAAAGCATTAAAATCCTTCAAGTATTAAAATAAATTATCAAAATTGTTTCCATAAGTGCGAAAGAACTAACAATAGCATATATAGCATACAGATGTATATCAATAGTGTAAGGAATCTCTTTAAGTATATACGGACTATGTAGTTGCTCGATATGCACATCGCCAAAATGCAACAAATTTCGAATTCTACAGATTTATCACTTCATGTCGTGAATTAAAAAAAGAAAAAAGTGGAAAAGAAACTTCTGACGGTGGTTGTTTTTATCGTGATCCGTTAATTAAAAATGTAGCGATAGAATAGTGAATGAATGGCAACCTCGATAAATTCTAAAGATTCTAAAGAAAACAGATAGCTTTTGACTGCCGTAGATGATTAAATGTTAGCTGCTTTTATATGAGAAATAAATATCTTCAATAAGATTAAATGTATATGATGACTCATTTCTTCTTTGAAAAGAAATTTGTTGTAAAATGAATTCGAACTTGAACCGTATATTTCATTCAAAATTAAATGTAAAAGTGTCGTAGCTTTTATTCAAAGCGAATATTTTAGCATCTTAATTCTACGAACCTCTAACTCCTTCCATAATTTAGAAAAACTATCAAAATGATTTTTTCTAAATATCGCATTAATAATGATTTAAGTGGCATTGAAGCTATTGCACTCTAGCGCAAAAGCGAAGATGAGAATTCTAATTCTGAAAGTGAAGCTTCAAGAAGATTCTCAACGGATTACGCAGTTTATTGCATTTATATTGGTAATTATTTAAGTTAATTAACAATATTTCTTATGTATTATACCTATTATAAAATTATTTTTATTTTTAATTTTTTGTTCAATTTTAAAATCCTATTAAAGAGACTACTAGAAAATCTTTTCTTCAGTATTCCCATGTTAAAATACTGCTGCGTTTTAAAATCAGGGACGGCTTAAATTCGAAATAATGTGGCATTTCCTTCAAAGCATACTTGGCGAGAATCTGCTATTATCAGCATTGACCTCTAGATATTAGCTACAAACGCGTGCTATTTGTATAGAATTAATCAAATATAATTTTTAGAATACAGTTATATAAAAATTGTATAATTAGAATAAATATATAACTTTCATTACTTATATTATCGTAAAAAAGGCCTTTTTTTAGAAGTATTGTGGTATAGAATTAGAATAATTTTCTTCATACAGTTTATGAATTGTGTTCCTTTGAATTATTTTTTATTATAAACAAATTAGAATAATTCGATTAGTTTTTATTATAAACAAATTAGAATAGTTCAATTAGTTTTATTATAAACAAATTAGAATAATTTGCTTCATACAACTTATGAATCTTGTTCCTTTAAATTCTTATTATTGCAAATATATATAACAGATTAATTTTGATTTGTAAGCTGAAATGAAGATATTCTTTTTATCCGAGTAAAAACAGTATTACTCTGCTTTGATATACTAACTTACATTGTTATGCTAATGTATAGCAAATTAATCTGTCGCATGGATCTGAATGATTTATAAATGAACTGACGAATGATTTCATTGACAATGAAATCATTCGTCAGTTAAGAACTATTCCATACCTAACGATTATCCTATCAGCGCATTACAGATAGGATAATCTATTAAAGTCCCCTATAGATGAATTAATAGATTATCCTATTTGTAATGCATTGAAAAGCAATTGTAAAATATGTGATAAACTTTCCCGTTTGTGTTATCTTGCTAGATAAATTGATGAAATTTTTAATGAAAATTAGGAAACTCAGTTGAAAATAAATTAATGAAATGATCTACTATTAAATTAATGAAATACTAAATTTATAATGAAAGTAATATCGAAACATTATCAGCAGAAAAATTTGTAAAAAGTACATCCGACTATTTGCAAGTTTAACTAAAGCTCAAGACGTTCTATTCTCAATTCTTAAGTGAAAACTACGACATCTTAAGTGAAAACTACGAGAAACTGACTAAGCAATTCAACATTTTAGCATATAGTGGTGATTGTTCTCAAAAAATGAAAGTCCCTCCCAATAGAATCCTAGAACTGCCGCCCAGACGGAAAGTGGTTAGTAATTCCGAAGGGCCAAGGTTCGAATCCTGGAGAATGTATGGATGTAATTTGTCCATCCCTTCATAGGACTCAACGGTAGCCCACCTATTAATTGCCTGCTTAAAGAGACCACCACTTCGGATCTTAGTAGTGGCCATTGTCTATAAAAATCTAGACCCGCCATTTAAAAAAAAAAAAAAAAAAAAAAAGAATCATAGAGCTTTGTAGTTTTTTAACCAAAAGCAGATAAAAACTAGCTCAGTTTTTATCTTTGAAGGACTGGCTATAATCGCAGTAAAACCTGTATCTACAAAGAGGAAAATAGATACAAGCTTTAAAAAGTAAGTTATAACTACTCCCATACCTTAACAGAATTGCGCATGTAAAGAATAAAGCTGATGTCCACATCAACAATTTTTGGTACTTTTCCGTTTCGCCGGCGCAAATCTCGCCAAGCAGACTTTATTGGCGACAACATACAGTATACACATAAAAAATATTTTAAAAAATTTAGTTCTAAGAATTCTTTTAATTTCTTCATAAACATTTTAATATCGCTTAAAATCTTTGTAAAAGCCAATAAATAAGACAATAAATTTGAAAAAAACATTAATTTAAGAATTTACTATGCTTTCAAGGTTCAACATCCTAATTCGCCGGTTTATATCACGTGACCCCAAGCAGTCTCATCTCACGTAAACTACTCTACAAAAATCTAATGCTCTCAGTAATTATCTACATTAATTTCAAGTTAAATCTTAATTTGGAACACAAGTTTAAATGCAAGAAATATTTCAATGCGTACGAATAGCTTACTCAGAAATTATGTAAAACTGCAGTGCTTTACTTCGCTAAGGCATTCCATTAGAATTGATGAATTAAAAAAACGCTTGACTTTACCTTTTCTATATTTTCGGCTTCGGGTAAGAGCTGTGATTGCATCCTAATTGACTTAATTACCAAAAATGGCCTTAGACATAAAACTGAACTATCTGATAAAAATTCTATGTAATTATAGTATGCCAGTATTGACAGAAACAATCAATCTGATTAGAAAAAGCTGCGACTTGTTTTGAAAATGTGGCATAAAAGGTTACCAGTGAGAATATTCCGTTTGCATCGGTTGTACCATTATTGGCGACTTTATCGCTTGCGCCGGCAAAACGGAAAAGTACCCAATTTTTTTATAGTAGCAATGCGAAATGCACTGTAGTAAAATTTCCTATTACGGGAAACTTATTTCAAGGTTGAAATATGAAAAACAGTTCTATTTTTCAAGCAAAATCTCTTAACTATACTGAAGTTCATTGTGGGGGGAAATGAACTACACTCGAGGTCTGACGAGCACTCCCGGCTCAGCCTCAGAAGGTTGAAAGAGAGTTCTTCAAAAAAGGTCTGTGTTACGGCAAGGGGGCTCCCATAGCGTAGCAAGCGAGTTTAATTCCTGTTTCGAGGATTTCTATGGCCATCATCCGGCCCTCCCGCCTAGTAAGGAGGTTGTTCAATGCGTGTCACTTTAGTTGCATTTAAATGCAGGAAAGATTAAACATTTGATTGATTCATCTAAAGATGGTTAGAGGAATGTCGAAAGCTACAAATTAAAATTTTATATCGAATTATTCTCCTTCACTTTAATTCGAATACAAACTACAAAAAAAAGTGACCTTAGAATGAGAACTTGTAAGAAAATAAGCAAAGATTCGAATTTTCAGATCGATATGCTATTTTACTGGAAAAGTAAATGTGAGGAGTTTTGCATGGTATTTACATTATACAAGTACAGGTTGAAATGTAATAGGGCATTCAATGTTTCCGATAAGTAAATGGGTAGAGTCCTATTACACTTTTATTTTTATCAATTTAGAATGTAATAGATAAATAATAGTTTACAGTCGGTGCCTTTGCACTTACAAGTCATACTTTACACTTACATACTTTACACTTTGGAGTCATTTCCAGAATTTTGGTATTTACGTTATACATGCGAATAATCAGAGAATCTCATTCAGCTAGTACACAGTCGCCAAAACAGATGATGGAAGGCGAGAACTTCGTGGTTTTAGGTGCCCATCGCAGGATGACGACAAAATAGGACAGCAGCGATCTTTGATTTTAAATTTAAAAAATTTAAACGCTACATTTTAATAATAAGGAATACTAATTAAATAATAAAAGCTAATTAAAAAAGAATGAGACCACATACCTCGTTGATGTTGAAATGGAAGACCTCAGTGAAATATGTAGTTTGCGAAATGAGCAGCATATAAAACGTCCAGCTGCGACAAAAGTTGGCAACAATGATGGCATATACTGGCATGGAGGTAAACATTTTTCCCCACGGCGTCGTTTTCAGCTGAAAAATGCACATAATAATGAACATTAAAAAAAAATATTTTCACAACACTTTAGATTTGATAAATATTTATTAGCAGAATTTTCTGCGAACATTTTCCTCTTATGCAGACAAAAAATATGAAAATCATAGAATTATTAAATTTACACTACATACGGAGAAGCTATTTACATCTGAATAATTCTACATTTCAGCTTTATAGAATTTACATTTGCTTTTGCACACTTCTGAATATCTGACACAGAATATTTGAAACATTCCAAATTTGAAGGCCAAGATGTTTTATATACAATATACTATGTCTTTTTTTGATATTGATCAAGAGCAGATGGCATAAATTTTCTAATGTATATATCCATCGGTAACCAGTAGAAAATGCTCCAGGTGAGGTATGTGGAGTCATTTTAGTATGAGATGATTCAGTAGGTCTGAATAATCTGAGATGCAGAATTACAATTTACCGAATAATGTATATTTATTTAAATAGACGTCATAACACTTTTTTTATGCTCTTATTGTAAAAACGACATTTGAGATCGATTGAGATGTGAGAATCAGAATAAACATCAACTCCGAAGAGAAAAAGAATGTATTCATATCTTAAAAAATAACTGTAATCATCTGTTATTTGAAAGAAATTCTACTTGCTGGGCTACCGAATTCTTGGTCAATTTATAGAATAAATGTATATGTGTTTACGTCAAAAAATCTTATCATTCCTTAAAAGTTTTTTTGTGAAAGATAATGAAAGCAGAATAAACATAATTTTCATTTTGAGAAGTTTACTTCAGCTAAATTTGGAATTGCCCGACAAAACTCGAAACAATAGCTAAATTGTTGCAGATTTATAGCTTTGGTCTCACTGGCTGGTTAGTACTAGAAGTGGACAGCTTCAGAATTTGTCCGTAACATAACCACAATTTTCGTTCAAATCAAGATTCTTTATGAATGCCTATAAATAAGAACGCAGCGATGCTATTTCGTTTTAAACAGGTATTTTTTTAAATAGCTAGATCTGATGAGTAAGAAAATCTGAAAAATTTTTATATTAGTAAAAACATTTACATGCAAGGAAAAAATCTAACATTTTGTACATTAACAATAGTTTTTACACGCAGTTATAAACAGTTATAAATAACCAAGGAAGAAACAGAGATAAAGGGAAATTATCCTTAATAGAACGTTGTAGAGACATTAGATTATATCGAAGCAGGAGACATGAAAAATGAGCAATACCCTAGCCTGGACTCGAACCTCGGCATCTCGAACACGCACCGAGTATTCTAACCGCTACACCACGAAGACATGCTAAGAAGGCAGGAGAAATACCTTATATCGTATATACTCGCGTATAAGTCGATACCGCGTATAAGTCGACCCCCCAATTCGACATAAAAAATTCGTAGAAAATAAGAAACCCGCGTATAAGTCGACCCCCAACTTCCGAGATCGATCGAGAAACTACGTAAAATTTTAACTACATTTATTCAAAATCATCTCTGAGAAAAAAAGTAATAGACGATAAAAAATACCTTGGTAATAACAAATCAAATCCTTCAACGTCTGATTCATGGTCAGATTCGTCAAACATTTCATAGAACTCTTTTGTCATCATTGGCTCGTCATCATACATATTTTCAGTCTCGAACTCTGGATCGTTACAATCACTACTAGAGCCTTCGTCATCACTTTTCACTTTCAAAAGCAGCATCATCATCTGTGCCGTTTAGTTCGTTGCTAATACAACATTTTTTAAATGATTTTATCATTTCAGAGGATATTTCATTTCCAAGCATCTTTAACCCACTGAGCAATTAATGTAATATTCGGCTTTTTAATGTTGCCTGCCTTTGTAAATGTTGGTCGACGGAAGTAATCCACTCTGCCCAATATTTTCTAACATTTACTTTGAAGGGCTTATTGAGGCAGACATCTAGGGGTTGAATGACGGATGTTAATCCTCCCCGGAATTACGGCCCACAGTCGTTTTTAGGTTTTTTTGTCATTTCTTCAGAAAAGTGTCCACGAAAAGAATCGTATACTAAAAGCGAAGGTTTTTTGACAGCTGCTCCCGGTCTTTTATCCCACACATTTTTAAGCCAATCGACTGTTCCGTCAGCATCCATCCATGCCTTTTCATGGGCGCGAACTAGCACACCTGATGGAAACACAACGTTTTTCGGTAAAATTTTTCTTTTAAAAATGATGAACGGACGATCTTTAAAAATGACTATCTGCATTTCTCTTTTCTTGGCGAGTTGGCGAAACTTTTTTATTGCTCGATATTGATCGGTTGTTCGGGGCCAAAAATTCTTTGGTTTAATCGAAACGTACTCTAGTTAAAGTATGAAACTCTGTGATTAGTTCGTCACATAATTTAAGTCATGAAATTACTTCAAGTAAGTGACTTATTTGATAAGTCGTCCAATTTGAGCGCGGGAAGAAAACAACTGCATTATATAAAGACATTTTTGAACTTCCGATTCTTTTAATTTTTTATGGCCCCACGTATAAGTCGACCCCCCACTTTGAAGTCTTTTTTTTGTCCAAAATATCTCGACTTATACGCGGGTATATACGGTATATTCCCCCTTTTAAAGGGCGACTGCGCATTATGGGACCAAATCGCCAAATCCTAGTGGTGCAGAATCATCATCCACCACTTTTTTTAGTTAGGGCGCCACTCTAGAGATACGGGGTTATATCGAAGCAAGAGACATGAAAAATGGATGCCTATTATCATACCTCGAAGAAAACTGTTTCTCTTTTCGCATATAGTCCATGATTATGACATTGAAATAAAAATATCGGTAGAACATTGCAATGGAGTTTTCTGCAATCGATAGTTTCAAATGCATGACTAGCTTCTTTTTGAATCTATAGTATCAGCCACATGAATTGTGTGCTCATATGTACATAGGATGAAAAATTGATGAGCGCATTTGTTTTCTTGTGCATCGACGTTTATTTTCCACTCTCAGTTTGTATGTTAAATCAAGGATCTAGTCGTACACAGGAAGTTCCCCCCCCCTCAATACTCCGATTTCTTGTCGTAAAATAATGATATTAGAATAATATTGTTATAATGATGTTATTATAAATGTTATGTGCCTAATAAATATTTATGTTTAGACAGAAATGTAGTATAATGCGTTGTATTGATGCAATAACCCATAACTAATGAATTATGAGAATAACCCTTCTTAATCAACCAGTACCTTTCTTAATCGTATTAGCTTTCTAAACCTTTTTTAATTAAGTAGCTATGGTTAAGTAAAATTATTCAATATGGGCATGTAAAGGGCTAGAAAAGGGAAAACATAGTTACCATGAACATTTTAACAGTCCTTGAAAGTTCTATAATATAGATGCGATGCACATAATAAAGTCATAAATAACTTTCAAGTCATAAATAACTTTCGATTCCCAAAGAACTTTTGTTTTGATGCTAAGCTACTTATTTTGATTCAAATTATTTACGTGTTATTCTAAGAACATTTTGCCACATACGAAATCGCAGTATATCGGCCAGCTTTATAACAAAGAACTACATTCGTACTTTTAAAGAATCTACATTATCGTTCTGTTTCGGTGTTTAGTAATATTAAAAGCTGGATTGATACTTATGATTAAAAAAAAAGCGCTGTTATTTTAAATAGCACATTGTTCACATAGTGTAAAGATAAGAGGCATCTTATGTGGCTCCGAGTTCTTCTACTTTTGAAATTTTCCCCTCTACTGGTACTTTTAATCTTTCAAGATGTCCATATCGGAAACAAACTCATAAAAGACAAAATATAAAAGTTACTAAAAGTATGCTTTATTTAATAATATCGAACTCTTTTTGCTACTCCTTATTTTCGTCTTATTTAAGCACATGCATACTATGCTAATGGTATGAGCTCGACTTCAGTTGCTATTCCTTTGGAAAAAAGTAACGACACGCGGTTGAGAAAGGAATAACATACGCGTCAGCTGATAATTGTCAAAATACTGTCTTCTGTCACCATTCTGCGTTTTTTGCAGCAAGATTAATGTTTAATGTGCAAGCAAGCCTCTACATTTATTCAACATCAAGTGTGTTCACTGCGACCGCTGAATGACAAGTCGCAATTGACGTCTACAACCGGTTTCTCTTCCTTCTGCTGTTGGGCTCCGAAGGTGTAGGACGGCCTTCTGTCTGTCCTCACTCCGGCTCACATGTGCGCCATTTTTTGTTCCTTTTCGTTCATTTTTTTGTCTGCCATCTCCTTAGCTGGATGTAGAGCCATGGCATTCCTTCTAGTAAAGAAATTGGAACTGAAGAAACAACTAAAAAGATCTATATACCTAACAACTACTGATATTTGATAATGTTCTACAATCTAAAAATCTTTGAAAAGACTTCATGTGCACTGCTTCTCTTTCCGGATGATTTAAAACTTCGCCTTGTGCTTCTTCAAAAATATATTGGGATAACCAGCTAAATTTCCGCCGTTAAAAAAATTTGACTTTTTTTCTCACGAAACTTTGCTTTACGTTGATGGAATGAGATCTACTTTGATTGGAATATTACGCACATCTCGTACGAGAGGTTAGGATTCAAAATGGTAGGACTAATATACTTCTGTCTGGCGATATTTGCTGGCACTGATTCAAAATTTAATGATGTCAAAGATATAATAAATATTAATTGATTTGTATTATTTGAGTTGTTGTCCTTTGGGAGTAAGTTACTTTACTTTTATGTTTCTTTTAGATCACACATTTCATCCTGCACGTTTGTAAGTATTTATGGGTTATTGTGCTACAACGCGATCTACAAATCCAGAAATTTATTAGATTTTACATTTATTAATTTTTAATTTACAACCACCCATTATCACATATTCGGTAACATTTGATACAGTCACATATTTTTCTCTTACATTTAAGTAAGTATCAGGTAATAAATAAGGCGAAATGTGGAAGGTGGTCATAAAGTGAAGGAGGGAAATGGTTGAAATTTCTTTATTGCTATG